TTTGTACAATAGTGTATCGTTTACCAGCATGCCTTATAGTAAATGTATTGCCAATCGTAAATGGCAGGATGAGGTAAAATTTTTGAAGAATTTTCTCTTAAATAAAAGTTATATGATTTTTCTTTTTGCAGTTTCTTTCCAAGACGTTTTATGTTATTTCCAGCTCAGCTTTGGTTTTGGCCGCTACTGTGTTTATAGCTAAAAGTTATGATTTTAAATTTAGTTTTTAAGTTAAAATCTATGGAAGGTACGCTTTGAAAGTAAATAATAGTTATTGTAGATTTAGTAAATAAAAATTAGTTTAGTTTTAATGTAATATCACACTTTTGTATTTTTAATTATTGCAGAAGAATATTTAGTATAAAGACGGTAAAGTTTTTAGTATAAAGACTGTAAAGTCTTTAGTATAAAGACTGTAAAGTCTTTAGTACAATGACTGAAAAGTCTTTAGTATAAAGACTGTAAAGTCTTTAGTATAAAGACTGTAAGGTCTCTAGTATAAAGACTATAAAGTCTTTAGTATAAAGACTGTAAAGTCTTTAGTATAAAGACTGTTAAGTCTTTAGTATAAAGACTGTTAAGTCTTTAGTAAAGTCTTTAGTATAAAGACTGTTAAGTCTTTAGTATAAAGACTGTAAAGTCTTTAGTATAAAGACTGTAAGGTCTTTAGTATAAAGTCTCTAGTATAAAGACTGTAAAGTCTTTGGTATAAAGACAGTAAAGTCTTTAGTATAAAGACTGTAAAGTCTTTAGTATAAAGACTGTAAAGTCTTTAGTATAAAGACTGTAAAGTCTTTAGTATAAAGACTGTAAAGTCTTTAGTATAAAGAATGTAAAGTCTTTAGTATAAAGACTGTAAAGTCTTTAGTATAAAGACTGTAAAGTCTTTAGTATAAAGACTGTAAAGTCTTTAGTATAAAGACTGTAAAGTCTTTAGTATAAAGACTGTAAAGTCTTTAGTATAAAGACTGTAAAGTCTTTAGTATAAAGACTGTAAAGTCTTTAGTATAAAGACTGTAAAGTCTTTAGTATAAAGACTGTAAAGTCTTTAGTATAAAGACTGTAAAGTCTTTAGTATAAAGACTGTAAAGTCTTTAGTATAAAGACTGTAAAGTCTTTAGTATAAAGACTGTAAAGTCTTTAGTATAAAGACTGTAAAGTCTTTAGTATAAAGACTGTAAAGTCTTTAGTATAAAGACTGTAAAGTCTTTAGTATAAAGACTGTAAAGTCTTTAGTATAAAGACTGTAAAGTCTTTAGTATAAAGACTGTAAAGTCTTTAGTATAAAGACTGTAAAGTCTTTAGTATAAAGACTGTAAAGTCTTTAGTATAAAGACTGTAAAGTCTTTAGTATAAAGACTGTAAAGTCTTTAGTATAAAGACTGTAAAGTCTTTAGTATAAAGACTGTAAAGTCTTTAGTATAAAGACTGTAAAGTCTTTAGTATAAAGACTGTAAAGTCTTTAGTATAAAGACTGTAAAGTCTTTAGTATAAAGACTGTAAAGTTTTAGTATAAAGACTGTAAGTCTTTAGTATAAAGACTGTAAAGTCTTTAGTATAAAGACTGTAAAGTCTTTAGTATAAAGACTGTAAAGTCTTTAGTATAAAGACTGTAAAGTCTTTAGTATAAAGACTGTAAAGTCTTTAGTATAAAGACTGTAAAGTCTTTAGTATAAAGACTGTAAAGTCTTTAGTATAAAGACTGTAAAGTCTTTAGTATAAAGACTGTAAAGTCTTTAGTATAAAGACTGTAAAGTCTTTAGTATAAAGACTGTAAAGTCTTTAGTATAAAGACTGTAAAGTCTTTAGTATAAAGACTGTAAAGTCTTTAGTATAAAGACTGTAAAGTCTTTAGTATAAAAACTGTAAAGTCTTTAGTATAAAGACTGTAAAGTCTTTAGTATAAAGACTGTAAAGTCTTTAGTATAAAGACTGTAAAGTCTTTAGTATAAAGACTGTAAAGTCTTTAGTATAACAACTGTAAAGTCTTTAGCATAACAACTGTAAAATCTTTGGTATAACATCTGTAAAGTCTTTAGCATAAGAACTGTAAAGTCTTTAGCATAACAACTGTAAAGTCTTTAGTATAAAGACTGTAAAGTCGTTAGTATAAAGTCTGTAAAGTCTTTAGTATAAAGTCTGTAAAGTCTTTAGTATAACAACTGTAAAGTCTTTAGCATAACAACTGTAAAGTCTTTAGTATAAAGACTGTAAAGTCTTTAGTATAAAGTCTGTAAAGTCTTTAGTATAACAACTGTAAAGTCTTTAGTATAACAACTGTAAAGTCTTTAGCATAACAACTGTAAAGTCTTTAGTATAAAGTCTGCAAAGTCTTTAGTATAAAGTCTGTAAAGTCTTTAGTATAAAACCTGTAAAGTCTTTAGTATAAAACCTGTAAAGTCTTTTGTATAAACACTGTAAAGTCATTAATATAAAGTTGTTAAGATTATTGTTTTTATTTTTTGTCTTTCTGAAGTACTAAATTTAGTATACAAAAAAAAGGAATAACATTTTATATAAATAAATTAATAATAATCATAATCTACATCAGCCACTGGCACTGCCACAGGTACTGGAACTGGCACAGGTAGTGCTCCAAAACCTATTATACCACCACCAAAACTACCATAATAGCCACCGCCATGAAAAAATGGACGTCTATAGAAACGTGGTCCATAACCGTAACGTCTACCAAAACCACGATAACCTCGAAAAGCGCCTCTGAAACCTTTTCTTCGCTGGCACCAACATAAATTTACACCAAATAACACAAGTAGTAAGAACAATAGAAGTAAATTTTGTTTAAAAATATTCATAATTGTAGAAAATTTTACAGAAAAGATGTTACTGCAAATAATTCAAATTAAATACTAAATTAAAGCTTAAAAATATTAATAAATATTTACGTATTTTTTGTTGTTTATAATATATGTACGAGAACGTGTTAATTAATAGGTTTACCATTAAAATCCATAAAATGGTCCATAGTATGGAGAACGGCGATAAGGGAAGGGAATAAAACCTCCCCCACCAAAAAAACCATAGCCTCGTCCACCACCATAACCAAAACCTCGACCACCACCTCTACCTCCGCCAAATCCACCTCCTCTACCTCCACCAAAACCTCCGCCTCTACCTCCACCAAATCCTCCGCCTCTGCCACCTCCTCCAAAACCACCTCCGCCTCTTCCACCACCTCCTCCTCCCCCACCACCTCTTGCCTCAACCGTTTCCATTAAATTAATTAAAACTATTAAAATTGTCAATAAAATAAAACACTTCATTTTCGATTTTATTGTAAATCGGTTTTATGTATTAAAATACGTCTTTATTCCCCGATTTTAACTTATCAACTAACTAACTGTTCATAAAGACTATAAAGTCTTTAGTATAAAGACTATAAAGTCTTTAGTATAAAGACTGTAAAGTCTTTAGTATAAAGACTGTAAAGTCTTTAGTATAAAGACTGTAAAATCTTTAGTATAAAGACTGTAAAGTCTTTAGTATAAAGACTATAAAGTCTTTCGTATAAAGAATGTAAAGTCTTTAGTATAAGGAATGTAAAGTCTTTAGTATAAAGACTGTAAAGTCTTTAATATAAAGACTGTAAAGTCTTTAGTATAAAGACAGTAAAGTTTTTTGTATAAAGACAGTAAAGTCTTTAGTATAAAGACGGTAAAGTCTTTAGTATAAAGACTGTAAAGTCTTTAGTATAAAGACTGTAAAGTCTTTAGTATAAAGACTGTAAAGTCTTTAGTATAAAGACTGTAAAATCTTTAGTATAAAGACTGTAAAGTCTTTAGTATAAAGACTGTAAAGTCTTTAGTATAAAGACTGTAAAGTCTTTAGTATAAAGACTGTAAAGTCTTTAGTATAAAGACTGTAAAGTCTTTAGTATAAAGACTGTAAAGTCTTTAGTATAAAGACTGTAAAGTCTTTAGTATAAAGACTGTAAAGTCTTTAGTATAAAGACTGTAAAGTCTTTAGTATAAAGACTGTAAGTCTTTAGTGTAAAGACTGTAAAGTCTTTATTATAAAGACTGTAAAGTCTTTAGTGTAAAGACTGTAAAGTCTTTAGTATAAAGACTGTAAAGTCTTTAGTATAAAAGCTGTAAAGTCTTTAGTATAAAGACTGTAAAGTCCTTAGTATAAAGACTGTAAAGTCTTTAGTATAAAGACTGTTAAGTCTTTAGTATAAAGACTGTTAAGTCTTTAGTATAAAGACTGTTAGGTCTTTAGTATAAAGACTGTTAGGTCTTTAGTATAAAGACTGTAAAGTCTTTAGTATAAAGACTGTAAAGTCTTCAGTATAAAGACTGTAAAGTCTTTAGTATAAAGACTGTAAAGTCTTTAGTATAAAGACTGTAAAGTTTTAGTATAAAGACTGTAAAGTTTTAGTATAAAGACTGTAAAGCATTATACTCTTTTGATCTCGTTTTTCATAAACTTTATCTTACAACTTAGGTCTTTAGTATAAAGACTGTAAAGTCTTTAGTATAAAGACTGTAAAGTCCTTAGTATAAAGACTGTTAAGTCTTTAGTATAAAGACTGTTAGGTCTTTAGTATAAAGACTGTAAGGTCTTTAGTATAAAGACTGTAAAGTCTTTAGTATAAAGACTGTTAGGTCTTTAGTATAAAGACTGTAAAGTCTTTAGTATAAAGACTGTAAAGTCTTTAGTATAAAGACTGTAAAGTTTTAGTATAAAGACTGTAAAGTCTTTAGTATAAAAACTGTAAAGCATTATACTCTTTTGATCTCGTTTTTCATAAACTTTATCTTACAACTTAGGTCTTTAGTATAAAGACTGTAAAGTCTTTAGTATAAAGACTGTAAAGTCTTTAGTATAAAGACTGTTAAGTCTTTAGTATAAAGACTGTTAGGTCTTTAGTATAAAGACTGTTAGGTCTTTAGTATAAAGACTGTAAAGTCTTTAGTATAAAGACGGTAAAGTCTTTAGTATAAAGACTGTAAAGTCTTTAGTATAAAAACTGTAAAGCATTATACTCTTTTGATCTCGTTTTTCATAAACTTTATCTTACAACTTAGTCCATATTTAAACACCAATATTTCCACGATAAAACAAATAACACTCAACACAACACCGATCACTAAAATAATCCAAGCCACTCTAAAATAATATATATTCAAGGGTTCTATAGGATATTCATCTTCCAGCAATTCAAATGATTCATTACTTAAAGCAAAAATGAAGGCCTCTTCTTCCCAAAGTTGCCATAGGCCACTTTGGACAATGTACAAAATAAACATATCCAAAGTATTCGAAAATTTCGCTTCGTATTGTATAGGATAAGTGCTGAAGACCTTACCAAAGCAAATGTCCGATAGTTGATAAATGGGTTGTATGAGATTTTCCTGTAGCTGTGACATAAATATCCATTGAGTTTGAGTGACAACATAAGCGAAGGAGCGGTTCTTTTGTTTGATTTTTTCCGTTATATTTGAAGGACCCATTTCTTTCAATAGCTTCGATATACGAGTTAAATTCGTATATCTATTATTTCTCAGATCCTCAAGAGTATTGCTGGAAATGAGAATTTTTATATTTGCTTCCAAAGCATCATCAATGGTTTTGATAAACGGTTGAAATACCGGTCTCATATTGTACATCGTTAGAAAGCTGCAGTAATAACTAGACATTATAAAACCCATTATTATGACTAACGAGTAAAATAATTGCAACCTTAAGGGAATATTATTGAAACGAAAACTTGCATTGGAACAGTACATTACCAGAGACATGCTATATAGTAGATTACTGCCATAAGAGTGTGAGGGATGTTTGAGATATGTCATCACATAGGCCACATAAAACACCGATATAAACAAAAATGACCAGATATAACGACCAAAAGGCCAGACTATATACCAATACCTGGGTAATTCATCCTTTGCCGGTACCATTACACAGGTATCTGAAAACTCCAGGGGATAAGAAAAATTGATCTGGGCAAAACGACTGTCATAAGTAGCGGTGTGCAGTGATATATTATAGAAATTCTTTTCCATCTTTTTTTGTATGTCCGACATTTTAATATTGTTTTCTTCCACCAATTCCAATGTATAGTTCATGTAAGAAGCGAACGATTCAATAACTTTGGCATAAGGTCCGACAAGAATTTCGGTTCCTTTAAAGGTTTTATACTTATATACTTTAGGTATTTCCTCATGATATGGTGATCGCAAAATATCCATTATGACGTTGTCGTTTACTCTTGAAGTTTGTACTGCAAGGTGAAATGTTTTGGAAAATTTCTTTTATAGTTTGCTTGGCTAATTTGTCGGTGTGAATGTGGTTCAAAATTTGCCAAGTTATAAAAAGTCCTTAATGATTATTTACATTTGAAGTGGGTATTGATTTATAATTATAATACCAATCCATTATTAATATATAGAAGGTTTGTAATTGACCCTTTACTGACTTTATTATTAATCAAAAACACAATTTAAGACAAAATACATAGAGGGTAAAGTTTAAGTATAAAGACGTAAAAGTCTTTAGTATAAAGGCGTAAAAGTCTTTAATATGAAGACGTTTAAGTTTTTAGTTTAAAGACGCTAAAGTCTTTAGTATAAAGACGTTTAAGTCTTTAGTATAAAGGCGTTAAAGTTTTTAGTATAAAGACTTTAAAGTCTTTAGTATAAAGACGTTAAAGTCTTTAGTATAAAGGCGTTAAAGTCTTTAGTATAAAGGCGTTAAAGTCTTTAGTATAAAGGCGTTAAAGTCTTTAGTATAAAGACGTTAAAGCTTTTAGTATAAAGACGTAAAAGTCTTTAATATGAAGTCGTTTAAGTCTTTATATTAAAAGCTTTAGAAGCTTTGTAATTGACCCTTTAAATCAAAAACACAATTTAAGACAAAATACATAGAGGTAAAGTTTAAGTATAAAGACGTTAAAGTCTTTAGTATAAAGACGTAAAAGTCTTTAATATGAAGACGTTTAAGTCTTTAGTTTAAAGACGCTAAAGTCTTTAGTATAAAGACGTTTAAGTCTTTAGTATAAAGGCGTTAAAGTTTTTAGTATAAAGACTTTAAAGTCTTTAGTATAAAGACGTTAAAGTCTTTAGTATAAAGACGTTAAAGTCTTTAGTATAAAGACGTTTAAGTCTTTAGTATAAAGAAGTTAAAGTCTTTAGTATAAAGACGTTTAAGTCTTTAGTATAAAGGCGTTAAAGCTTTTAGTATAAAGACGTTAAAGTCTTTAGTATAAAGACGTTAAAGTCTTTATTATAAAGACGTTAAAGCTTTTAGTATAAAGACGTTAAAGCTTTTAGTATAAAGACGTTAAAGTTTTTAGTATAAAGACGTTAAAGTCTTTAGTATAAAGACGTTTAAGTCTTTAGTTTAAAGACGCTAAAGTCTTTAGTATAAAGACGTTTAAGTCTTTAGTATAAAGGCGTTAAAGTTTTTAGTATAAAGACTTTAAAGTCTTTAGTATAAAGACGTTAAAGTCTTTATTATAAAGACGTTAAAGCTTTTAGTATAAAGACGTTAAAGCTTTTAGTATAAAGACGTTAAAGTTTTTAGTATAAAGACGTTAAAGTCTTTAGTATAAAGACGTTAAAGTCTTTAGTAAAAAGACGTTAAAGTTCGTCAAGATCTTTAGTATTAAGACTCTAAAAGTCTTTAGTCGTTATAAAGTCTGTTTCAAGACACTGTGCAAGACACAAATCTGCTGCATACCTTAGGGATCTTCAATAAAAAATCGATTTTCAAGATCAAAAAGCTTCCCATAAAGCTCACTCCCTCTCCGAGGAAGGCTAGTGAATATTTTGTGCGTTTTTTTTATATTTTGAAGATAGATCAAAATCTAAAAGGTGTGTGTGTGAACAATCAAATCAAAATGTGCGTCTCTACCACTCATATTTACTTAAACTAACAAAAAATATACATATTATAAGTACTAACTTAATCATGGTCCCACTTTGCATAAGCAGCGGAAGGTGAAGGGATTGTAGGTAAGTGCCAAATTAATGTGGAAACAATGTTCATGATCACATACAAATATTTTCTATTTCAAATTGCTATGCCTTTAACAGACATAGCAACAACTTGGCTGCCTTGTATATTTATACATCTATGGATATGCCTATTTTATTTCTTTTGCCAAAATATTTATAAATGCAGAGCGTATTTAATTTGTGTCAATAATTGGTAGCAGAGATCGCTGGAAGTTTAACCCTATGGAGAGGGAAAATTTATGTATTTAAAATAATAATAACTAGCTACAGCTAGATCGCTGTTGTTTTACCTTTTTTATTTACACTCAATTAAATACATTTGGAACACAACTTTAGTTGGCGAGATCGGCGTACTGCCAACAGATGTGTTAAGGCCCCTTTAGTCACTTGATGGTTAAAAACATATGGTGTGTTTGAAAATGTGTAGGCTTAAAGAAACAACAACTACCATATTTGCTATACATTGTGTAAATGTTTGCATATTCTCAATATTCTCTCCAATATTTTGTTGTTATTGCTATCTCTTGATCATTTTTGTTATTTATAAAGAGAAAGTATAAATTACAGTAATTTATCAAAATATAATAAACGAAATTTTAAAACTAACAAATCTATACAAATAAATTCTAAAATAGCAAAAATTTTGCTATGAATGTAGGTATTACAAAAAAAACTTTAATTGTAATGATATCGTTCATTTACTACTAGACCGATATAACTCAATAAAGATCATTTCATGAAAGCCCCCTTTCGAAAACCATGAGATTATTAATGTTTCGTTTCCCTACAATTGAATCTCTTACTCCGAACTACATTGAAGGCAGAAAATGAGTAAAGAAGTGGTAATTATAATAATATAGCAGATAAGCTCTAGACAGGAAACCGTAAAGATCCAAAAGGTGCTCGTGTAGAAGTGTTGAGAGGTGGTTAGTTAGATAGGTAGACAGATATATGGATAAGTAGATAGATAGATAGATAGATAGATAGACAGATAGATAGATAGATAGATAAGATAGATAGATAGATAGATAGATAGATAGATAGATAGATAGATAGATAGATAGATAGATAGATAGATAGATAGATAGATAGATAGATAGATAGATAGATAGATAGATAGATAGATAGATAGATAGATAGATAGATAGATAGATAGATAGATAGATAGATAGATAGATAGATAGATAGATAGATAGATAGATAGATAGATAGATAGATAGATAGATAGATAGATAGATAGATAGATAGATAGATAGATAGATAGATAGATAGATAGATAGATAGATAGATAGATAGATAGATAGATAGATAGATAGATAGATAGATAGATAGATAGATAGATAGATAGATAGATAGATAGATAGATAGATAGATAGATAGATAGATAGATAGATAGATAGATAGATAGATAGATAGATAGATAGATAGATAGATAGATAGATAGATAGATAGATAGATAGATAGATAGATAGATAGATAGATAGATAGATAGATAGATAGATAGATAGATAGATAGATAGATAGATAGATAGATAGATAGATAGATAGATAGATAGATAGATAGATAGATAGATAGATAGATAGATAGATAGATAGATAGATAGATAGATAGATAGATAGATAGATAGATAGATAGATAGATAGATAGATAGATAGATAGATAGATAGATAGATAGATAGATAGATAGATAGATAGATAGATAGATAGATAGATAGATAGATAGATAGATAGATAGATAGATAGATAGATAAATAAATAAATAAATAAATAAATAAATAAATAGATAGATAGATACATAGATAGACAGAATAATATATGTAGGTAATATCAAATCCGAGCACCTTTACCAAGGTCTCTAATGGGAATCTAATCCACACTTTAGCAGGCCTTAAATAACACAAAATTTTAAGTTATCCCAATCTTATAGTAAATGAGCAGTATGTAAATTTAGTCATTCAGTCACTACAAATATGATTAGTTTTGTAGATAATTTAAACAAAAACCAATTCAAAAACTATTAAATTTGTGTGCAAAAATAATAGAGAAAAAATGTATCTAGAACAAAAATATGCATATAGTAAGTAGCATTTAGCAGTCGGTATTATAATTCAAAATTATTATTCATGGCTCCCATATACAATTTAATTTCGAAAATCACTTAAGCTTAAATAACTAATAATCTAACACTGATACCGGTATAAAATTCGACTCGAATATGTTGTGAACATAAACAAATCATTCTGTGATCGGCATATAATTGGTAATAGCTCCCATATAATGTTCCCTTACGAAAATAATTCAATCGTAAATAACTCATGAATTAAATATCGGAATTAAATTCGACTCGAATATGTTTTGTATAAATATAAATCATCCTGTGACACTTTGTTCCGGATCTATAAATATAGTCATCCTGTGACACTTTGTTCCGGATCTATATGGGCCATATGTCTTTTGAAGAAAGAACAAAGCCCTCAGCGGAATTAAGTCCCACATTCAATACCGCTGTTTATTTTAAGATGTATCTATATAAATCATGTTATACTTTGTTATATAGTAGTCGTTCGATACGTCTCCGACTATATGAAATATCGTTGCAATATCCCAAATAGTTCACGAGCTACAGTTAAATTTCCAA